CTTCCACCCGCCCAACATCATTCTGTTGAAAAATCGATGGAGAAAGGCTGCATCTGACAGCAGTTGCATCAAGTCATATGCAGCTGCTGTTTGGGTATTTTTAGGCAAGAGTCTAGGTCCAGTGAATGTCGAGGGGACTCGGCTATATCCTTCATTCTCCTGCAGTACACTAAAAGAATAGCACAATTAGTCAAACCTGTGCAATTGCCTGTTATTTCACAAGTGAGGATGCACTTGTGGGCATTTGGTTTCGGATGGGACATGACAGTATAAACACTGGGGTTGATTTGCTAAAACTGGAGAGTGCAAAATCTGGTGTAGCTGTGCATGGTAGCCAATCAGCTTCCAACGTCATAAGGTGACACAGCGCAAATAATAAAACGTGAGAAATTGAATATAAGTCCAACAAGCAAAGTCCCAAATTAAAGTCCAGTGTCCCAAAAATTTGTGATAAAAAATATAACTCTAACACAAACTTCATAAATTTTCCAGCATGCTCACATCATAAGTGAAAAATCATTTATTCTATATTATGGATTTGAGTCCTCAATGTTCCCGATTGGCAGGGGAACTAGGCAAGGGTGCCCACTTTCTCCCATACTATTTATCTTGGCCTTGGAACCTTTGGCAGAAGCCATTCGTATGCATCCTGATATTAAGGGAATAGATGTAGCTGGCTCCCAGCATAAGTTATCTCTGTTCGCTGACGATATATTGTTGTCAGTCACGTACCCGGGGGTTACTTTGCCAAATTTGCTTGTGGTTTTGGATTCCTTTGCAGTTCTCTCAGGTCTCCATGTCAACCCTGCCAAATCTAAGGCTATGTCAGTTACTCTCTCACCATCACTTTTGGCTACTTTGAAACATTCGTTCCCTGTTCAATGGCTCTCGGCTCTGCCGTATTTAGGAATTAAGCTCACCCCGACTTACGAAGGACTTTATCAGGCTAATTTCCCCGCCGTCTTTAATGAACTGACTGAGCTGCTGTCCTCCTGGTCTCACTACCCGCTTTCGTGGTTTGGTAGAATCAATGCGATCCGTATGACCTATCTTCCCACATGATTGTATGGGTTTCGAGTTTTACCTGTCCCTGTTCCTTCGCATATATTGCGTATTCATCAGCGAAAACTTCTGTCTGTCATTTGGAGTTCTTCTCGACCCAGAATTAGTAAACATATTTTATTTGCTCTTAAGACCAAGGGTGGGTTATCTGTCCCAAATCTTCGGTCTTACTATCTGGTGGCCAATATTGCACCCTTAGCCCATCTCCATGCATCTCACCATTTCCCCTTGTGGGCTATCGTAGACTTGATGGACTCCCACCCGATACCACTCTCTTTTTTGCCGTGGCTTCCTTTTACTCATCGACCTTCATCCCTTAGTCCGACGCTAACGCTTCGTCTTAGGGATTCTATTAAATATTCCGCTGGCCTCATCTCTGCCCACCTACCGTTACTACGTTTGCTACATAACCCATTATTCCCCCCAGGTCGTGATACTCCTGGACAGTTTGCCTGGTGGCAAGTAAATGGCTTCCATGATGTATATTCGATGCTATCTCCCACTTGAATACTCACCTTTGAAACTCTGCGCTCCTCTCATGATATCCCATTGCGGGAACATTTTGGCTATCTTCAACTCCGCCACTTTATTAATACACTAAAACGGACGCACTCGGGACCCTACAGGTTGTCCCCCTTTGAAAGTCAATGTAGACACAGACCCCATGCCTAATCTCTCTGGTCTACTCTTCCATTATTTCTTATAGAACTCCTCCGGTCCGTTCCTATCATCAGCGTTGGCAGTCGGAACTTGGGGGCACTTTGGATCAACAGGATTGCGGACCATGACCCAAGCGTTATCTAAAGGTTCTAGGAATGTTATCATTCTAGAAAATGCCTATAAGGTTCTTTATCTGGATGGTATTACACGCCTGCTCGTCTGGCTCGTTTTATCCCTACATATTCTCCGACTTGTTTTCGGGGCTGTCAACGGATGGGTACTATGGTTCACATCTGGTGGACTTGCCCCAAGGTGTGCAGATTGTGGATCAGAGTTTATGCCCTCCTCCGTACTATGTTTCACACAGACATTAAGTGCAACCCGTATGAAGCGCTTTTATTTAAACCATTAGTGGGCCTACTACGTCCCGAACGGCAGCTGGCTTCACACCTATTTATGGCCACCAAGCTGACAATCGCGAGGGCTTGGAAGACTCCTCTCCTCAGCTTCGAGGCTGTCAAAAACCAGAATGAACTTCATAATGGTTAACGAAAAACTGACAGCTATACTGTTGGATACCCACACAAACTTCGTGCAGACATGGTGACCCTGGCTTGATATAGCCCAACCATCGAGATTCGACCAATCACTTCTGTTGATATAAAATTTACTTATTAATTTATTTTTCTTTCTTTTTTTTCTGTTGCGATCGCCCTGAAGCCCTTTTTGCTTTTGTTTTTGTCCTCGTCTCCTTACTCTTCGTCCCTCTCTTTTCTTTTGTCTAACCTGTTTTATACTATTTGTACTGATTGTGATTATTGCTTTGAGTGCCGCACCCGCAATACTAAATCCTCATGCTGGACTCCTTCGAGAGCCCTACGTGTGGAATACCTATCTACATTTGGAGAGGCTCCATTTTATATCTTCTCCACTTTCTGTATGCTGATATAGTGACAATTTTTCCTTAGAGTTTATATTGTCATTGCTCTCTAATTGTTTACTCATTGTTTTCTCCCTTTTTTTTTTTTTTTGTTTTTTTTTTATACATGGCACTTAAGTATACAGTTTAATTCTATGTCTGTCCACCAGTACATATTCTGGAATATTCCTCGAATACCTTGTATGTCTTATTTCTGTTGGTCAATGCATTTGTTTTTGACTGATTTTTTGCTACTATCTATTCTATAATAAAATTCTTTGTAAAAGAAAAATCATTTATTCCACATTCACCAAATATTTTGAATTCCCAAGCTAATATAGCTTTGAGAAACAAAAATAGGCTTGGAGGTGGAGTGTGGAATCCTCAGATGTTATTTCTCCCTTTAACGATTTCTTACTGATTTTCCTTCCTGGATGTTTCCACATAGGGCGATATAAAAGAAAATACTGTATGAGGGTCAAAGAAAATTTTCTTAAAAAAACCTTCTTTACTCTCACATGGCGTGGCTTTAAAACTAACTTCCATGATTTCACATGCCTTCCAAACCACCGATGATGATCCCTCCTTAACGTCCTCCAAGCTCTCACTCATGGATGGGCGGATAAGGGTGATTTGATGGATTTGTGACCAGCTTGTATGGATGAAAAAACTCCCAAGCTGCCACCAATGATTCCTCCTTGATATCCCCTGAACTCTCGCTCATGGATGGATGGATGAAAAATGCAAAAGAAAGTATACCAAATAGCGTAACACTGTATAAAAACTTTTAATAATCAAGTGATGCTTCAAATGCGCGCACATTTGAAAACTGAGTAATCAGCCTTATATCAGGAAAATTTTTAAGGAAGTTTTCTTTGACCCTCATAAAGTATTATACTATTGGCATTTTCTTTTATATTTATATATCGCCCTATGTGGAAACATCCGGGAAGGTAAGTCAGTAAGAAATCGTTAAAGGGAGAAACAATATCTGAGGATTCCACATTCCACCTCCAAACCTATTTTTTGTTTCTCAAAGCTATATTAGCTTGGGAATTCACAGTATTCGGTGAGTGTGGAATAAATGATTTTTCACTGATGATGTGAGCATGCTTGAAAATTTGTTAAGTTTGTGTTAGAGTTTTATTTTTTTGTCACAAATTTTTTGGACACTGGAATTTAATTTGGGACTTTATTATTTGCGCTGTGTCACCTTATAAGTTTAATTTGATGTTTAGTCATTTTTTGAACAGCTGCATTTATTTAGATTTATTGTTTATTTCTTTGGCGCAAGGTTTTTATTACTAGCTTCCAACTTCAGCTTGTTCAGTTAAACTGCATGGTTTCAATGCGAAGCTGCACCAGATTTTGTACTCCTCAGTTTTGGTAAATCAACCCCAATGTATCTGAGCCCATAGCAGAACAGACAATGCTATGGAGGTGGCTTCCCTGTGCTTATTACAGTCCTTATCAAAGTCAATTGAAGGGGTGGGGTGTTCAAAGCTTCTAACTTGGCTAGGGCCCCAATCTGTATACCCAGGAGTGTGAATGGTAAAACTACTGTCAGTGATTTTTTTCTATCTTTATCTCATTGGGAAGACAGAGTAGGCAATGGGTGAAAATCTTGCCAAAATGCCAAATTTGTCACCACAACAGGTTTCCCCAGGTGACCACTTTAAATTTTGTGATTTCCCATCACTTTTTGTCCCTATGACCAAGGTCATCAGGAAAAAATGGACCAATGGGGGGAGTCAGACAGCAGTTAAATCCTTACAGGGAATCTAGCTATTCCCTACACCAGTGGTCTCCAAACTGATGACCGGGGGGCGGATGTAGCCCTTTTCATGCCTTTATGCGGCCTTGGAACATTATCCCTCCAAATGACACCATCAACAGGGCACTATTCCTCCCACTTATACCAACAATGGAGCACTATCCCCCTGCTAAAACCAGTGATGGGGTATTGTTTACTCCCACTCGCCACAGTCTAGCCCAGGGGTCCTCAAACTACGGCCCGCGGGCCACATGCGGCCCGCCGAGGATATTTATCCGGCCCGCCGGGCAGGGGCGTATCTGCTGCGGTCAGGAGAGCTCGGCAGGGCTCAGGCAGGAGGGCGGGATCAGCAATTCTAGAACAGGGGAAGGTGGGCTCAGGTTATGAACCTGCACCACTCACCTGGCCTCTCTGCAGCCAGCCGGCCATCTATTCTGATCAGTGCATGCAACCGTCACGGCCGGAGGGCGGAGCCTAGAGCTGACCATGAAGAGGGGGAGCAAGATAGGAGACTCAATCGCTGCATGTCGGGTATCACAGCCACGGACCCTAGATAAGTGCAATAGATGATCGATCTCCTCCCTCTCTCTTTCCCCCTCTCTCCTCTCTCCCTCCCCCTCCTCTCTTCCCCCCCCTCCTCTCCCCCACTCTCTCTCCCCCTCCTCTCTCTCTCCCCTCTCCTCTATCTCCCCACTCCCCTTTCTCCTCCCCCTCTCTCTCCCCCTCTCTCTCCCCCCTCCCTCATCCTCTCTCTCTCATTCCCCCTCCTCTCTCTCTCCTCCCCCCTCCTCTCTCTCCCCCCTCTCTCTCTCCCCCCCCCTCCTCTCTCTCTACCCCCCCCTCCTCTTTCTCTCTGTCCCCTCCTTATCTCTCCCCTCCCTCTCTCTTTACATTGTACACAGATCTGACCCAACAAGGTGTCCTGCATTTACCATATATTTCGCTCCATAAGACACACTTGTGGGGAAATGTCTGTGCGTCTTATGGAGTGGCTGGCCCAGTATTCCTGCCGCCATTGTATGTCTGCAGTCTCTGGTCATCTCTTGTACTATGTCCGCAGTCTCTGGTCATCTCTTGTACTATGTCCGCAGTCTCTGGTCATCTCCTGTACTATGTCCGCAGTCTCTGGTCATCTCTTGTACTATGTCCGCAGTCTCTGGTCATCTCTTGTACTGTGTCTGCAGTCTTTGTTCATCTCCTGTGCTGTGTCCGTAGTCTCTGGTCATCTCTTGTACTATGTCTGCAGTCCCTGGTCATCTCCTGTACTATGTCCGCAGTCTCTGGTCATCTCTTGTACTATGTCCGCAGTCTCTGGTCATCTACTGTGCTGTGTCCGCAGTCTCTGGTCATCTCTTGTACTATGTCTGCAGTCTCTGGTCATCTCTTGTACTGTGTCCGCAGTCTCTGGTCATCTCTTGTACTATATCTGCAGTCTTTGGTCATCTCCTGTGCTGTGTCCGCAGTCTCTGGTCATCTCCTGTACTATATCTGCAGGCTCTGGTCATCTCCTGTACTGTATCCGCAGTCTCTGGTCATCTCTTGTACTGTGTCTGCAGTCTCTGGTCATCTCTTGAACTATATCTGCAGTCTCTGGTCATCTCTTGTACTGTGTCCGCAGTCTCTGGTCATCTCTTGTACTATGTCTGCAGTCTCTGGTCATCTCTTGTACTATGTCCGCAGTCTCTGGTCATCTCTTGTACTGTGTCTGCAGTCTCTGGTCATCTCCTGTACTATGTCCGCAGTCTCTGGTCATCTCCTGTACTATGTCCACAGTCTCTGGTCATCTCCTGTACTGTGTCTGCATTTGTTCTTAGTTTTTTTTTTTTTAAACTATAGTCCGGCCCTCCAACGGTCTGAGGGACAGTGAACTGGCCCCGTTTGAAAAGTTTGAGTACCCCTGATGTAGCCCCACCAAAAGCTGAAGGACAGTCAGCTGGCCCTTTATTTAGAAAGTTTGGAGATCCCTTTACTACACTAGATCTCTTCACAGTGTTTAGTCCACAAAGCAAATGCCTTCATTGCACATAAATCATGGAGCTGCATATGAGAACAGTTCCCAAGCATTTCACATGGACTGTTTTACAATGCTGAAGGCAACTTCCTGACAAAATCTCCAAACTGAACGTCTCAGCTTCTATATTGTGAGCAATGTGGTGTCTTCTCATCTCTCTTCGGGGAAAAGCTATGTTAGATCAGCTCAGGGGGAGGTTAGGCTTTGCTTCAGCACATATGGGTGGTGTGGCAGGCCAGAAGATTTGTAGTAGTGTACTTGTCTCATTTCTAGTTTATTTGTTAGTGTTCTGCATTCTTTCTTCCTCTTTCTCAGCCAGACTAAGCAGCTCATTCTGCTACATATCAAATCCTGCGACTTGGAGATACCACACCATGGCAGCCTTCACCCACCAGCACCCAGCTTGAGCTCTTGCTTTCTGTGCATAGTGCTGACATTGCAGATGAAGCTTTGTGGCGGTAAAAAGTAAACCTCTCCATTTCAGCACTGCTTATCATTCCAGCTCAGGACATCACCCTTTTCTTTCTCCCCACTGAATTCTTTCAGCCATTACTCACAGATATGGCATTATGTTCTCTGCTTGGCGTAGTATCCACAAATATTCTCTGTATAAACAGCCGTAACTATTCACTTACTTTAATAACCCTCCATTAGCCCTCTTTTTATCGTTTGAATTGAAATTGCTCAGCTACTTTCTGTTAAGGGAATAAAAGTATACATTGGTCGGCGTTAATACATAAATGTAATTGCGGCTATGCTTCAAGGTGTATAACGCCCACACACTCCATGGAAATAATGACACATACCTGGAACAAAAAGCACATTGAGAGAGGTATCATTAGGAGTCCTTGCTCTGGAGAATTTTTAGTCTAAACAGAAAACTGCAAGTATACAGCTACAGATAGCAAAGTAGTACACAATAAAGTTTGGAAATCAAGCTCATAGGTTTCCTCCAGGTACTCCAGTTTCCTCCCACAGTCCAAAGACATGCACACTGGGTGTTAAACTGGCGGCCCTCCAGCTGTTGCCAAACTAAAAGTCCCATGAGGCATTGCAAGATTGACAGTTACAAGCATGACTCCCAAAGGCAGAGGCATGATGGGACTTGTAGTTTTGCAACAGCTGGAGGGCCGCCAGTTTAACACCCCTGTGCTAGTAGGTTAACCGACTCCCGCCTAAGTTGGCCCTAGTATGTGTATCTATGCATATGAGTTAGGGACCTTAGATTGTACGCCCCTTGAGGGCAGGGACTGATGTGAATATACAAAATATGAATGTAGAGCGTTGCGGAAATTGTCAGTGCTATGTAAGTACCTGTAATAAATACATTAAGTGTTCTCAGTAGTGGCTAATAGGTGTTTTCAAGAAGCTGCATTAAGATTTGTATGTAGATGATCGCATAACATAACCCCATTATCAATGTAGAGAAAGTACAACTTTTTACTGTAAACAAGCAGTGTGAAAGTCGGGCAACTGGCATTTTCAATATTAGGGCAACAGTAGCAGCCAACACAGGTTTCCTTGACTGTAAATAGTCCTCATCCGATCATTTCATGAGGTTTCAAAGGCTAAAAACTGTTACTTGTTTTTCTGCACATAGTTTTTTAAAATTGTTTTACAGACAAAATAGAAATGAGGAAATTTAGTAAAGGTTAATTAAATCAGTTTTTCCCTACACTCTGTAGTTTATTCCTGCTTCAATGGTTGCAAAAAATGTTTATTCAAACAAGGAAAAGTGCATCTATATCAGACAATGTGGGAATCAGGATAGAGGTCTCATTGAAAGAACATGCATGAAATTTTGTGAATTCAGACTAGAGCAGTGGTCTCCAAACTGTGGCCCTTTACTTATCATTATCTGGCCCTTGGGGCAGTATTCTTCTCTCTGCTAAACAGCATTGTTCCCACCACTGACACCAACAATGGGGCATAATTTCTGCCACTAACACCAACAATGGGCAATTATTCCTCCTACTGACACCAATGATGGGGCACTGTTCCTCCCAATGACAGCAAGGATGGGGCAATATTCCTCCCACTGACACCAACACTGGGGCACTATTCCTCCCACTGACACCAATGATGGAATTCTGGGGCATTATTCCTCACACTGATACCAACATTGCGATAGACTATTCCACTATTCCTCCCATTCACACCATTGATGGGGTGTTATTCCTCCTGCTGACACCAATGATGGGGCACTCTTCGTCCCACTGATACCAACATTGGGGCACTAGTCATTCCCCTAATGCCAAAGATAGGGCATTGTTTATTCTCACTGATGCCAAGACATTTTCTCCTCCCACTGGCCATAGTCCAGCCCCCCTAAAAGTCTGAACGATAGTAAATTGTCCCTTTTTTAGAAAGTTTGGAGCCACTTGAACTAGAGCCTCAGTACTGCATAAGATGAGACACGCACTGAGCCACTATGCCAAAAGTTGCTATGCTTTCAATACCCAATCTGTTCATTCCCTGCAAGGATTCAGCACATGCTTCAATTCTTTCTTTGCCCCTCTCCTGCAAGGCCTCCTTGGCTTCTAGAGGTTTCCTCTAAGCCAGGAGCATACTAGTCTCTTCAGGAAACTTTTACTAGAAATGAAGCTATGCGTTAATACTGGGTTGATTACTTGTGCCATTTCCTTCTGACACAATGAATGCAAGGTGACATAAGGCAGAAGTGACGGAGCTATTAGCTGGGTGCATGCCCTATATAAATGTCAGAGTGGAGGCGATGAGCTCAGGGAGAGGCAGCTCACAGTGTTTGCTTTGGCCAAGTCTCAGGTCTTGGAATCCCGTTCTGGTCACAGCACGCTCTTCTCATTTCCCGCATCCACCCTTGTAAAGGGCTCATTGAAGCCTCCCTGCATGATATGAATTCAGAATTTGCCTTTGTGTCCCAACACACTGGGAACCTATATATCAAATGCCTGAAAACCTGGGTAAAAATAGCAGTAGATACATCACACAATAAAAGTGCTTTGAAAGCAATGTTTCTTTTTTTATGCTCTTTTGAGATGTTTCTATTTTTAACAGAGGCTGGAAAGTTTCTGTGGAGCCAGAGACATTCCCATTCCCCTCAGCACTGGGATAGATCAGTTCTGTTCTCTTGTTATTTTTTCTAGCACACGGATTAATATGTTGGCCTATGACTTGTAAATGATAATAAGGTTTAGAGTGTGTCTTGGCCTAGTGTTCACCCACATGGTTCTACTTATCAGGCCCTCAGTTTTCGCCTTACTCATCCATATGTGGTGTGTACTCTGACAGACCATACTATCTTATCAGCTCCTTATAAATCACAGTTACCTTTGTAAGGAAAAGTCATACAGCTGCTAAGCTATTGTTATTAGGCAGCAATCAGAAGGCCATTAACATATCTTGGTTATATTACTATGATGGAAGATGTAAGGGCCAGGACACTTTACACCATATGCAGGTTAAGTTGGTACAACATCTGCATTGCATTGCAGTGTTCCTGGGTTCAGATCCCCTAATTTAGAGGCTGGGTGAAAGGTTTATTTATTTATTTTTTATAAACAGTACAATTTTATTAGAGGTCTATACATCACACCAAAAATGAAGGACAACTAAGAGGGACTTGGTCCCAAAAGAGCTGAAGCAAATGTAGCAGTGTGACAAGCAACTGGCATTTTTTATTTTTAGAAATCGTTTTTTTTTTTTTTTTAAAGTAGAGTACACAAAAAGAAAACACTCTGGTGATGCAACCCACACAGGGGAGCACCAGTCAGCAAAAAGAAAAAGCGAAGAGGCACATAGTGCTATACTACAAAAGTTAGCAAACAATCCCCCAACAATTACAACTTGCGTGTGTAGGGTGTGTGGCTTGCACCAAAAACAAGGATGCATAATATACCAATTCCGTTCAGCAGAGCATATTCCCAAATATCTATATGACCATCATCAAAGTAAAGTTACTGCCCTTAATGTGAGGTTAAATAGAAAGTAAAATAGAAAAAAATAGGTTTAAAGCGAATCAGGTATTGAAACAGTGGGGACAAGGTCATTCACAAATCCCAGCAAACAAGTTCTAGAAGGAGTAAAGGAGGTGCCAACCACTGCATTAATTATGTTAGCAACTGCTCCTCAACACTGTGAGATAGCTGGGCAGTCCGAAAAGATGTGTAAAAAATAATTTTGGATAGAGTAAGAAAGGGTTATAACCCCATCAGATTTTTTTTGTTCCCATCTGTGTCCCTT